CTCCCCGAGGCCGCCCCTGCAGGCTGGGCCTGCTCCGGCCGCTGCCTGCGCGCAGCTTCGGACGGGGCCAGGCCGAGGAGAAATCCGCGCCAGAGCTCCAGGCCTCCTACAACCCTGCCAAATCAAGGGTACCCTTGTGTCCTGTGTCTCGCGACCCATGCTTCCTACATTCCTGCGGCAATGTGGCCCTCGGAAGGGTCTTGTGCCCTCTCGCGTGTCCTGTCCAATCGAGTCCGACTGTAGATGGGGTCGGAGCAGGTGGGGTCGGAGGATCGCGCCGCATCGCCGATGCATCGCCCCAGTGCATCGCCCACGTCGACGACGCATCGCTGGGGTATCGCTGGTGCATCGGCGATGCATCGCCGATGCATCGCCGATGTATTGGCGATGCGGCGCGATCCTTCGACCCCATCCACTCGGACCCCATCTAGGAGGCCTCCAAGAGAGTTCTGGAACGCTCTTAGAGCGTTCTGGAACGCTCTGAGACGGCCGCGGCGCCCGAGACGCCCTTCAGAGCCGCCAGATCTCAGAGATTCTCGATTCATCTTTGCCCGAGTTTATCCTCGTCCTTGCTTCGTCTCAAATTTACGCCGCGGATCTGTCTGCGCCAAGGCGGGCGTCGCGACGGGCCGCTCTGCGCGGTGTTCCCAGTGGCTGGGATTGCGCTGGGCCTTGCCATTCAGATGTAAATCGCGGGAGTTTCCGCTCGTCTTGGATTGAATGCGTGTCTGCAACTCGCGCCGAATAGCGTTCAATAGCGCCCAGCAGCGCCGAATGGCGTTTAAACAGCGCCCAACAGCGATCAACAGCGCCCAATACAGTCGGTGCGCATTGGCAGGTCGACCCAGCAAAAATCAAGGGTACTCTTGTGTCCTGTCCATCCCTTCTCAGGTCCTCTTACGTGTTCGGACTAAGGGTACCCTTGTGTTCTGTCATTTTCGCAGACGTTGGGGCCATATCGGCGGCATGTCAGGAGCGTCGCGCCATGGGAAGGTCGCGCCTCTGGGCAAGGGTACCCTCGCGTGGGCGGCGGGCCAGTCGGATACCCTTGGTATCCTGTCTGGCGCGCGACTTCCTTCGCCATGTCACCGTCGGAAGAGTCTCCCGTCCTGTCGCGTGTCCTCTCGTATGCGCCCCGACTGCACGCCATGTGAGGGAGGCGCATCCTGTCCGCTCTGCGCGCGATGGGGCGCGCTATTGGGCGCCATAGGGGGCAACTACCAGCTTCCGTGAGATGCCTTCGAACGACATCCTCCGACTCACGCTGCGGGAAAAAGGAAAAATCACGATGGACGGCTTGGGGAAACGTGCCCGCTTTGGGGGCCCTCGCCGAGCCCCAGGACCGTCAACAAGAGTCAGGAGGGGGAAAAACACACAGACACAGTTAATCATCGATCCCCAGGAAAAATGGGAAAATATGGGAACTGGGGGGGAAGACAAAAGCCCAGAAAATATGTGCAAATATTGGGGATCTGTGCGCATTTATTTGTGTGTCCCAGGGCCCCTTCAAAGAGCTCGCACGGTGGAAAAAGCCGGTCCAGAGGAAGGACCCAGGCCCCTCGGGTGCCACGCTGCGGACCAAAACACGAGGTCGGACGTCTTGGGCTTTCTAAACTGCTCGGCCCCCGGGAGGGGCCCAGACCTCTGGGGGGCCACGCTATGAACAAAGACACGACGTCGGGTGTCCTGGGTTTGCCAGACTGCTGGACGTGCTTCGACCTCCCCATCGGCGTCTCAGCCTCGCCCTCCACGCAGTGCGCCGCGCGCGGGCGCGCATCTGTCTGCGCCGAGGCTGGCGGCGCCGCGACGACGCGCTCCGCGTGCTGCTCCCTCTGGCTCGGGTCGCGTTCGGTTGTCGGACGTGTTTCGACCTCCCCATCTCCGGCACCTGTCTTAACCTCGCCCTCCACGCCGGATGCCGTGTGGGGCGCCGCAGCCGTTCGCGTGTCCATCCAGCGGCCGCCACAAGCGGCGCTTCCGGCTGGCGGCGGATTGCCCGCCCCCCTCTCCCGCCCCCGCGCTCGCCATTGCATTGGCCACCCCCAAGGAATCGCGTGGTCCGCCTGCGAAATTCAGCTGCGCTTGCACACGTGGACCAGCGGCTGGTCCACGTGTCAGATCGGTGTATCCTCGTGACGCCGGCTCACTTCTGGACTCATTCTGAACGCTTCGCGTCTTTCAGTTTGCGGATCCCCCGAAGCAGCCTCGAAGCAGCCTGACCGGAAACTTACTAGACCAGCCGACGGCATCGGGTCATCCCACGGGGCTTCAGCTTCATGTGCGCCAGCGGCTGCATTGCCGCCACGCCCGTGGCAGAAGATGCGCGCAGGCAAGGCGGCGGGCTGCGCCGCCAAACGCCGATCTCCACCTCGAGGCAGCGGCCGCTGGCCTCCGCGGGCAACCGCTGCACTTCTGGCCTGAGCTCACACGCGCGGGTGCGCCTTTCGACCTGGGACTCCGGCCTCTGAGCAAGAATGCCTCAACCTCGCCCAGGAGGCCGACGATCGCGTTTCCCGAGCCCTAAAAGGCTGAAACACACACACACACACACACGCACGCACGCACGCACGCACGCACGCACGCACGCACGCACACACACCCATACATCCACACGCCCATACACCCACACACCCACGCACCCACACACCCACACACACAGAGACACAAACACACACACACACAGACAGACAGACACACACAGACACACACACAGACAGACACACACAGACACACACACAGACACATACGGACAGACACACACACAGACACACAGACACACACAGACACACACACACACACAGACAGACACACACAGACAGACACACACAGACAGACAGACGCACACAGACAGACACACACAGACAGACACCCACACACACACGCACACCCACACCCACACCCACACACACACACGCACACACCCACCCACACACACACACACACCCACACACACACACACGCACACACACACACACACACACACACACACACACACGCACGCACGCACGCACGCACGCACGCACACACGCACACACGTGCCCAGATTCACATGCGGAAGAGGTTGAGACCATGCGTTTGATACGCGTGCGGCAGGCCAGGCGACACGTCCATAGAAGGGCCCGAGCGCTGGAAAGACCTCCCGCCACATGTGCATCTGGCTCTCTCCCAGGCTGGCCACATCACGCGTCTTCAGCTCCCCGTGCCTCCCACGGGCCCGTCGGCTGCCCCGTGCCCCGTCCAGCGGCCTGGACGGCCAGCTCGGCGCGCCCGCTCGCCGCCGGCGCCGACGCTGCGGGCGCCGGCGGCCGTGCCTCGAGCAAGGCCAGCGCCCACAGCGCGGCCCCGTTTGCCGCCCGGCGCTGAGATGGCCACACTCGGCTCTGTCCCTGGGTGTTCGTGGCCATCTACGTCCCCAGCCGCTGGGGACGCAGCAGCTGCTCCGAAACCAGGCTCTTCGACATATCCCAAGGTGCGTCCGAGCACCCGCGGCGATGAGTCAAGGAGTGCGTTCGGCGCTGGAAACGAAAGCGTTGACTCATCCACAAGTCAAGGCTTGCCATGGCATGCCATGGGCTCCACGTCCATGCCATGGAACGCCAGGCCATCAATCGCGGCCATGCCGAAAGCGCATGAAGGGCCAAATCCGAGCCGGCAAGATCGCTCGCCTTCTTACGCGGCCGCCCAATGCATCGACGCCAACACACTCTAGACCAGCTCAAGTGGACGTGGCCCGACTCCTTTGGTGTCATACGACAACATCGGCACACCCATCTGCTGGCTGGTCGCGAACGTCGATTGTGTGTATGTTTGTGGGTCGGGCGTTCCGCGCGCGTTCCGCCGGTGCGGGGCCGCGAGTGTGTGTGTGTGTGTGGGTGTGTCTGTGTGTGCGTGTGTGTCCATCCGCTGGTCTAGCAGCTTTACAGGTCTCCGTCTACTAACCAATTAGCACCAGACTGCTGGCGCTTCAACCTACTTGAGTCGAGCGATCTGTTCCTCGGTTCGTTGGCCGCTGCATGTCCTGGGTTTGGTTTGGCTGGGTTCGGCGGCTACGGTGTTGCCAATTCGGCCTGGGTGATGGGAATATCCTTGGACAGCCAGCTTGTTCAGGTTGGCGTTCTGGGGCTAGACGGCTACTCCCGAAGGGGGTGCATGTAAACACCAGCTGTGGTCCACACGCCGGTCTGATTTGGCCGTGGTTCTGAAAGGCTCGATCTGAAGTCCACTGATCGCCCGACGCCCTCTTCTTGCTGGGCGAGCCCCCGATTCCTGTCCCCAGGCTGGGATGTTAGGCGCCTCGTGGCGCCGGTGGCGATGGTTCTCAGAAGCATCTCCAGATGGACGTGCATGAGGTCGGGGCTGGGGACCCCAGGCTCGAGGAGGAGAGAGGGGGGGGGAAGAACCTCGCCCTGCCACGCGGCGCCCCACTCCAGGGGGGAAGCTGCCGGCCCTGCACATGCCGGTCCCGTCCCGTAGCCGGCGTGGGCTCGACGCCGCCCTGGCGCCCTCAGGACGCGTGCCGGCCCATCGGTGCTCCCGGCTGCCCCGCGGATCTCCACCGGCGGCACGCAGACTGTCTCGGTCCTCGTGCGCCGCCTGCACCGCATGGGAGGGATGGGTAGAACAGGGCCAGGATCGGGATCAATCGCTCCAGAGCGTTCCGGAGCGCTCTCAGAGCGTTCTTGAACGCTCTGGAGCGGCCGCGGCACCCAACACATCCTCCAGACCCGCCGATCCTCAGAGATTTCGAGTCATCCCGATCCGATGTTGTCCCGATCTTCGCGTCGTTTTACGGCTGGGGTGGGCGAGCGCGCGCTGCCGCTTGCTCGCCTACCCTGCCCTGACCTTCCAGAGAGCCATTTTTGTAGCACTGGAAACCTCAAAACCTAAAAAACGAAACGAAACAGCCTAAAACCAAGACGTAGAAGAGCTCTGGGATAGGTTTTTTCGTCGGGTGCTATTGTTTAGCCCTCCTGGAAGGTTAGGGTGGGCCCTCGCGCCAGGTTGACGCT